GGGGGGGGGGGGGGGGGGGAAGAGGAAGGAAAAGCACGTGCTTAAAGGCCCATACCCCTCGCCATCCCCCCAACGCCCACCCCCGACAAACCCGAGCAGGGCCTGGACGCCGCCGCTGCACCGCCGTGGGCGCTCGGGGAGGCAGCGGCTGGTCCTTAACTTTAAAACAACTGCCGCGGAAGCGGAGCGTCTGCGCCCAGCTGCACCTGTTCCCGACCGTGGGGGACCGAGCCCACACATCCCTTCTGACCTTGCGGGCATCTTCGAAATCCACACTCCACCCCTCGGTCAGCGTTCCTCCACCCCCTTTCCTAGCAGTAACCGAAGCCTTCCTGGTACCGAAGCAGAGGGGCCACCTCCAGCCGCCCACCCCCGGGAAATTCGGAATGCGCTTCCCCCAGGGTCTCTGCAGAGCCTCAGACCACCGCCCGCTTTACTCGTTGCTTAGCCTCCACCTCCGCCCAAGCCACCGAGACCCCCACAGCCGGTTAGGGCCCCTTCTCTCCACCCCAGATGTGCGAATACCCCCCCCAAGTTGGGGGTTCCCTCCACCGGTGCGCGGAAGCCTTTGAGGGACGCCCTTGCTAGCTGGCGCCGCAGGGCAGCTAGGACGGGGTCCACCGGCAAGGGGAGGGGGCGGCAGCGGAGCCGCCCCCGCGGACCGGGAAAGGCAGCGACAGCAGGCCCTCGGTATGGGGTCGGCAACCCCGATCGCGGGTAGAGCCGAAGTATCGCCGGGAGCCGTGGCGGGTCAGCGCAGGGCGCTCCCGGAACAGCCAAACTTTCTCTGCCACCCAAAGTTCGGGGCGCCGGGAAGACAGCGAGGAGTAGGCTGCCCGGCGGCTCCCGTCATCACCCCCACCTCCCCGGGCCGCAGGAGAGGGCGCCCCCCGAGGGCCAAGGCGGCCGGGAGCGCGCCGCCCTCACCTGGGCCGGCGGGACCGCGGCGAGCGGCCCGCACTCACCTGGGCGTAGAGCTCGCTGACCGACATGACCCCGCGGGCCGGCCTGAGCCCGGGCAACAAGCCTGGCGTGCGGCCCTCGCTCGTGCCCCGCTGGGCGGCGGGTCCCGGCTCCTCTGCGCCCGCCGGCTCTCAGTTCACGGCCGGCCCGCCTGGCGCCATCTTCCCGGGCCGGCCCAGAGTTTCCTGGTGTCCTGGCTCTTTCCCCTCGACCAGCCCCGCCGGCTTCCTGGAGGCGCCGCGGCCGGCTCGCTCTCGGCCAGCGCGACCTTTACTCCCGCGGTGGCGGCGCAGCTGCGGCTGGGCAGGAGCTGCGAGCGGGGGGAGGAGGCGGCGCGACGCCGCTCCCCGCTCAGGTATGGGAGGAGGTGCGGGCGCCGAGGAGGGAGGGCCGGAGGGCGGGCGGGCGGCGGGGCGGGCGGCCGGTGCGCTGCGGCCGCCGCCTTTGAGCCCTGCCGCTGCCGGGCTGGACGCGCCCTCCCGCGCCCCCGCCGCAGCGGGGTCCACGGGGCCGGGGGGGCGGGGCGGGGCCGGGCGAGGAGCCGGCGCCGGCCGCCCCCTGCTGGCCGCCCAACGCACGCCGGACAGGTGCGCGCAGGGTGCGGCACCTGCCCCGCCGCGCCAGGCTCCCCTGGCTCGTGGCTGGGACCCTGCGAAGCGGGGCAGGGATAGACGGGATACCAAAAAAAGAGGAAAATAAGAAACGTATGGAGAAGGAGCTAGGAAGTAGAAGAAAAGGGGAAGTCTACGGCTGGAAGGTTCCATACGTTTTCCTCCGGACTTTACGTGGCTGCATTCAGCATTCTCATTAAAATTCAGTTCTGTCAGGAGAGAAAGTTAAAGGTGACTCGGATATACCAACCGTGGGCTCCATCAAACCAAGCTCCCTGGGCTGAAGTCCTTACTCCAGGAAAGGGGAATAGCTGCTTTAACTGTGTGCCTGTTTCACCCAGGGCTTCTAACTAGGCTCCTAGCGGTCCCTGCCCTCCATAAGAGGATTATGGCTCGCTTTTCTGGAAAGTCTTATGCTTTCTCCTTTTTTTCTTACATGCACTTTCTATTCCTCTGCCGCTTTCTACCTTATTTATTGTCCCCTCTGCTAGGGGCATTTCATCCGCCAGCTCTGGTCATCTCTTACCACCCACAGCAAAAAAGAAACCTCATCCAAAAAAAAAAAAAAAACACTAGCTGGCAGGATTTGGTGGAGGCAGAGTGGGTGCTGCCAGGTAAGACAGAGCTTCAGCGTTCTGGAAATAGCCCTCGTACCTGAAGGAGGAAGGGCCTTGGAGGGTCAGTTCTCGGGCAGAACAGCCGTATATTCCCACTGAAGAAATCGTTCTGGAACCCCACGCCCTGGAAGATGCTTCTTAAACTCTTCCCACTTAAGACCTTACCACGTGGAACGCGGGATCTCCATTTAATTCACCTGTGCAGCCCGGTCACAGCTGTGCCTCCTCAGAGAGACTAGCCGAGGGAGTGTTACCAGTGCCAAGGAAGGCGCCTTACCCTCAGGAATTCGTTGGTGAACAGTGGGACCCTAGTATCTGAAATTTTTAAGCTCCACAGTTCTAAAAAATTGTACTCTCAAGGCTGGCAAATGCAGTGGGTGACCAAAGCTTGGAGAATTTTTGGATTTGAAATGCAGCTCTTCAGATCACTTTCTGCAGAAGCAGAAAGGAAATGGCTCCACCACTTATCTCTCACTCAAAAACCTGTCTGCATAGTTTACTTTCTTGTTCTCTAGTAGTTCTCGAAGTGTGGCCCGCGGGGCTATCCGCATCACCTGGGAATTTATTAGAAATACAAACTGTCAGGCCTCAGACATACTGAATTAGAAAAGCTGGGGGGCGGGGAGCCAACACTCTTTTCCCCCATTTCCAGAGGATTCTCCCATCTTGGACTAAGACACCTCCCTTGCTAGGCTCAGTCCTCCCCTCTGCCTAGGACCCCACTGGCTTCCCCACCACCATGCTTCCTCAGTGGTCCTGTCTCTACCAGCAACTCCCGCTCTGTTCTCCTGTCCTGCTAAACTTCTTGAGGTACAAGCTACCAGCTGGCGCCACTTACACGAAGTCCTCCATGACTCACCTGTTCTCAGCACTTTGTGCACTTTTACAAAAACAAATGCCTGGCTCCCCACTCCTAGAAATTCTGATTTAATTTGGCTGGGGTGCTGCCTGGGCAAAAGGATCTTGAAGGGTTCCCAGGTAGTTCTAATGACAGCCAAAGTTAGGATTTGGTGCTTGACAGGAGCCAGGCTGGCTCAGTCAGAAGAACATCCAACTCTTGATCTCTGTGTTGTGAGTTTGAGCCCCATCTTAGGTGTAGAGATCACTTAAGTTAAAAAAAAAAAAAACACTTTAAAAAAAATGCTGCTTTAGTCCTTTTCTAAGTGATTCCACCCGCCCCCATCCTATTGACATTACCTTCTCCCTCTGAAGCATGGGCTGGTAATTGACTAGGTTAATTGACTAGATCAACCACCTAGGTTAAACCAGCTCCTTCCTTACCATGTATCATTTTTCTCCTTTTGTTTTACAGCTTCTCTAACCATAGCTTTGTGATGAACTTTTCTAACTCTGCTTGCTGGTTCTTCAATAAAACCGTGGTCCATTTTCTGAACCTCTTCTTCACACACACACACACACCATTTTGCCTCTCACAGCACTGTTAACTCTCCAATCTAATGCTAACCTTACTGCAGACCCACCTTTCCACCTGCTAGATAGGCAACACCAGCCATACCACTAGGACCTAGCATTAACCTGAAACTCATTTGTCTCTATCCTTCCTCCCCACCGCCAACATGGTTCCAACTTCCTAACTTCAATCATACCTGTCACGGATTAAAAACCTCAGCTCATGCTGACTGAACTGAATCGCTTCCCCAAGGAGAATCCTGTTGTTGGCCAGGGCTTTGTGAACTTCTAATCTCACAATCAGATATGGTCTTTCCCTCCTTTGAATATTAATAAAGATATTTTAAAACTTACCTTGTGCCAGAAAACTTGCCAAGTGTTTCCCTCCATGATCTGGTCTGAGCCTCAGAGGAACCCTATAAAGGAAGTGCAAATGATGAATCTATTTCACAGATGAGCAAGGTGAGGCTGGTGGGGGAAATGTTCTAGGTCAAAGAGCAGACCCTCAACTACACTCTTATCTCTAGATAAGAGCCTAAGTGTTTGCTTTAATGCCCATGGTTCTTTAATGTTAATGTATATCAGGATTAGGTGGTATCAGGAGGTGCTAAGTCAATTGATCCACATGTAGTCCATAAGTCTATGTGTTTAATAAATACCCCCAGCTGGTGTAGGGTCCACAGTTCTGGAGAAACTGAATTCTCCCAGTAGGTAAGTGAGTGAGCTTGGAAGTGGATTCCTTGCTAGTTGAGCCTCCAGACTGGACTTGAAGACCACAGTCCCAGCTGATACTTGGATGCTAGCCACGTGAGACACCCTCAGGCAGAATATTCAGAAAAGCTGTGTCTCAGTCAAAGCAATGGAGTTAATAAAGTCTGTGACCCATAGAAACTGCGAGGTAATAAACGTGTGCTGTTTGGAACCACTGAGGGTTGGGGCGATTTTTTACGTACCAGTAGATGACTAATAAAGTCACATACAAAAAGTGTTCTGTGATGACTGGCTCACTGGTAAGAACTTTGTCCCGGGATCTCTCTCCTCCCCATTCAGGTTGGGTTCCCGAATGCTCCTACCTGCAAGGCAGCCGTCTTCTTCCTGGGGTGCGTGTCAAGACTTTCCAAGGAGCTCTATTCCATAATCTGTTTTAAGGGAGTCAATGCCCAGATCCTCAATCTCCATATGCACTGGCAAATCTAAACACCAATTTGCAAAAAAAAAGATGCGCCTGCGGTGAGAGGGGCTCTATCAGCTCTCCCTCCTCACCCTCTTGCACTTTTCAAAAGAAAAGTGCATTTCTCAATCCTCCTGAGTAGCACAGTGCTTTGCTTGGGAAGCAAGAGCCGCCAGGATGTCCAAGAAAAGGACAGTTGGAAACTTTGGTGTTGAGCACGCGGGTGACTCCACTGAAGGAGTCATGTGTTCTGTGCAGGGTGAGCAGATTCCAGTTCTGCTAGCAACAAAACTGAAGGAGGACCAAACCAGTCGTAAGCCGATAGATGATGGCAAATAATCTTCTGGTGAATCGCTATGTGATTTTTGGCACCTCAGAAGGAACTCAAAGAACCAAGGGACAGTGAACTGTGTTCTAATAAAACTTCTCTTGGGGCGCCCGGGTGGCTTAGTCGGTTAAGCGTCCGACTTTCGCTTAGGTCATGATCTTGTGGTTCGTGGGTTCAAGCCCCGCGTCGGGCTCTGTGCTGGCTGCCAGCTCAGAGCCTGGAGCCTGTTTCAGAGTCTGTCACTCCCTCTCTCTCTGACCCTCTCCTGCTCACGCTGTCTCTCTCTCTCTCCCAGAAATAAATAAAACATTTAAAAAAAAAAACCTTCCCTTTCCATTTGTGTAAACAAATACATAGCACATACAAGAAAAATCAGAATACATTTTTGAAATTGTATAATAATCCCAGGATAATCAGCTCAGGATAATGTTCATACTTAGACCACTGGAAATGTTTAAACTATATTCATTTATACACATATTTTGGGTACAGGTAAATGATATAGGGTGGGTGTTAAAAGAATTTCTAGCATACAAATTGTGGACTAAAATTCTATAGAGAACATGCTCAAGAAAAAAGCCCCATGCAGGGCTTGAACTCATGAACCATAAGATCATGGCCTGAGCTGAGGTTAGAGGCTTAACCAACTGAGCCACCCAGATGCCCCTGTGTTCTTTTTAACGAGCAATGGAGGATATCAAAATGCTGTGCCAGTGAGAACCCATCGAATCCATTTAAAAGAGTGCCAAGACTGTTTTATTTTAAGCTGACGGCATGTACAATATGCCAAAAATTGCATCTTCTGCAACTATTGTCACTTCTTAAAATTTTAGTTATTAAGTTACAAATGTGTGGAGACATACATGGTCTTTCCAAATCCCTTTAGGGGCCCTCCGCTGGCTCCATAGAACATGTGACTCTTGCTCTCAGGGTCATGAGTTTGCACCCCATGTTGGGCTTAGAGCTTACTTAACAAAAATAATCATAACAACAATAATGATAAAATGGCATTAACAGCCTTGATGCTGTGGAATGCTTT